TTAAGAGGGAGTAAGTGCTTTAAAGTTTTATTTTTCTGATTTTATGGTATGATGCTTAACATGAGATTATTTTCTCCCAAAGTGATATCATCAACACCTCCTATATTAACTTAGTGTATTAAAAAATTGATTTTCTTAATTATAAGTAACAAAATTTGAATTCTAGACTTAATTTAGAAGGCATTATTTAAATATATTCAATCTTGTTTTAAAAGTTAATTTCTGCTTCTAACATAGTACTACAAAAAATTATAACTTTGAAAATAAAATTTTTAGTTTTAAGCTCATAAAAATAGGGTTAATGCCATCTATCGTCCCTCTACTATAAAAAATAATACAATTTAAATCTTCTACTATTGATTGGCTCAATGTCCTCTCTCTACTATTAATTAACTTCATCTGTCATCCCTTGGCAATGCAAAAACAAGCTAATGTCGTTCCTCCATTCAATGTAAGCTAACAATATTGTTTGTTGACCGTTAAGTGCAAACGACGATTAATGGTTAGGCCTTTTTTATTTTTTTTTCCACCTTGCCTTGTGGGCCCCACTCTTGCCACATCATCTCTCACAAATATTTTTTGCATTAGCTTGGACTTTTCGCCGCCTCCCCAACATGGATCCTGCTGGTGGGAACTCAACCCCATTTTCTGTCTATTTTGCCTCCAAAAATTTCCAAGTTTCTATACTTTTAGTACAATTTTTAACTTTTATGGTCATACTTGAGATCTAAGTTTTAGAATCTCTGCACAAGGAAAAGGAAAAGCTATCCATAAATCCAAGATCAACAGTAGGAAAGTAAAGAACGACCTCAGAGATATACAATAAAAATGACATTTTTTATGTTTGTGGTTAATTAATTTAATGAAAGATTTGTGGAGATTGATAAAATAGTCTTAGTTACGAGGGAAAAAGAAGATGGGCCAGTCTCAAACCCGACACATACCACCCGAAGGGATCAAAGTGGTTTAACCACTTGCGCTACTGAGTGGTTTGCTTAGAGGCGTACTTGATAATAAATTATTTTAGGTCCAAAAAGAAAATTTTAAAAGTTATGGGATGAAAGTGTGAGTTTTTCCTTCATAAACGCAATAGCAACAATGCCTTTCAAGAACTAGATGGCACAACGACGTTTGTTGAATATATTGTTTGGTCGAAGCAATAGTAACACACTAAGGTTATGTTTGGTACAATTGGTGGGAAGTCTTTTTGGACTCCAAAAGCTCCAACTACACCAAACACTATAATTTATGAAAAATGTTACAACTTCTCGTAAGTTAATCTTTTGTTTATTTCATTGCAAATCTCAGAAGCACCAAATTGATGCTTCTGCAGGAGCTTCTCATTTGAGTTTTAATGAAATTAATACATTATTTCTATTTTATCTTTATTTTTCTTTTTCTTTACGAAAACAACACTTCTACAACGGTTTTTTTTCAACAGAACTTCTATTAAAAGCTCCATCCACATTAAACGAGCACTAAACACTGGGCAAAAGGTACCCGTTTGCCCCTTAACTTTTCGATTTTTAGGGTTTTTACCCTCCATATTACAATACATGAATTTTTACCCTCAATATTTTCAAGTTTGAGGAAATGAGGCAAAATTTAACGCCGAAGCGTCACGTGTAGCACGTGCACCGTTGACCTCCGTCAAGTATACGCATGTCAGCGCCAACTCAGACTTTTTTGACAACTTGGCATGCCAACTTGGAACCCCATGAGCGGGAAAGTTTACCTGCTACCCTTTTTTTTTTTTGTGGGCCCCACCGCTGATAAAGGTTTGAAAAAAAAAGGGTTAAATCCTCGATTCAGTCCTTCAACTTTCATTTTTGAACTAAATTTCTTTTTTTTTTTCTTTTTTCTTTCCTTTCCTTTTTTTTTTCTCCTTCTCTTTCCTTTTCTCCTTCCCCTCCCTATTGGGTTCGAAGGAACCCAGCACCAGTGCCTGGGTTCCTTCGAAGGATTTCAAGACAGCCATCAATGCCCAGCTTACTAAATAGTGAATAAAAGTAAGAAATACTGGGAACTGGAACCCA